TCAATTTATTTTAATTAACTCTTCATCAACGCAGAATGCATTCAACACAATTGTAAGGACATCCATGATTTTAACGCATTAAATACTTAACCCACAAAATTCAAATCGTGCAGGAGATACTGAATGCCAGAGATTCGGTACAACTACTGCAACTGTATTTTATGAAAAACAAACCAATGTTTTAGTGCTTCCATTTTACTGTTTTAGTATGCTCATTACGGTATTTTTCCCTTTATAAACTGGAAGGATGCAGAGCTAGAAAACATTTTAGTCTTTCACTTTCAACATGAGATTTAGTAAAAAAAAGTTACAAAACCCATCAGCTTTTAATAAACGAACACACTGGAATTCTTCAGCTAATGTAACACAGGATTGTTGCCTTATAGCCAATAAAGAATTTCAAAACAAGGAAGCAAAATGCTGTCTTCAACTGCAATGATGTTAACCCAGAGTAACGACAGTAAATTCCACGGAAATAACCTGGAGTTACACCAGGAATAAGGAGGAGGTGATTTCTCCCTCACCTTCTGAACCCCCAGAAGTCTATCAACTAAAAGCTTAAAACAATAGCAAGGTTACGTCACAAAATGAAGCAGCAATTACCTTCAAGGGTACCGTGAGACATTTCAAGAGTGACATTATTCTGAGTCAAGTCAAATGGGTTTACTGCATTATGATCTGGTTTATAAAAACACTTAAATGCACACTACATATAGAACACTTTCATGTCAAGTAGTTAAAATCACTGTATATTCTTTACAGGTGACAGACGCATGGATTGAAAAAGTGCTGCTAAAAATCCAGTTTAAAAAAAAGAAAGCAAACATTTGATGAAAGAAATACTCTATTCACAACTGGAATTTATGCTATTTGTGCTCCCGTTTGATGGGCTGCTGATGCGAATCTAACCAGAAAAGGTACACTCATATATAGAAAAATCAAAACAGGCAGGTTCCTCCTTCCAGGCTGGAAAAAAATCCAAGACATATGGCATATTTAACCAATAAAAGGGAGCTAAGCTTTACCCAAACCTTTCATAATGCACTTAATGAAATATTTTTTTTCTTTTAAAAGAACCACTGGTATTAAATAGAGCTTTTTCTTTACATACAGTATTGGTATATACAAAACAGACACAGAACAAAGACAGATGCAAAAAAACCAAACAAGTGACTTCAGAAGTTCTGGAGCTCAGGAAGATTTTGGTACAGGTCCAAAGTCTCTGGGTTTGAGAACGCTCCCCGCTGCTCAACTTCTTTCCCTGCAATTATTTGCTTCACAGCTACTTCCACTTTTTTCCCATTTACTGTATACTGAAAAACAAAACCAGCAATGATAAAATTACACTTTTCATTTAGTAGCTTTATGGAAATATTCATGGAACCCCCCCACCAATCCCAGAACTCAATCAAAATTTAGCACAGTATCTTCCCTTCTCTGTTACACTTGAGGCACCAGGATCTTTCTTCTGAAAACCACTTGAAAAGTAAGCAGAATTCAAAGAAGAGTTTAGATGGGATTTTAGTTTATTATTCCTGTTTGGTAATACTGTGAGAACCTGATCAAGCTCCAACTTAAAGCAATGAAACTAGTCCAGAATCATGGTACAAACACTAAAAATCTTTAATGTTTTATGTCCTGACACATCCGATTTTCAAACAATTTTTAATTTTCTAAGGGTGGGCTCAAAGCCCAAGTCCATTGGGCTTTCGGAGAAGAAAACCATGACTTTTGTATCTTAAGTAGACAGTCTTTTTCTGATAGGGTAAAGTGAAACACTAAGCTTAAATGGTCCTCAACATTTAAATCTTTCAAAACAAACTGTAAGAAACAGAGGCTTCATCTCCACTTACCAATCACACAAGTTCTATTACATTGTGTTACTCAAAGTAAGGACATTGCAGGAAAAAAAACCCTCATTCTTCTCTTCTTGGAATTAGACTACTATAATTCCTGACTAGTGAAGCACGGTAAGGAAGAACTACTCCAATGTTAGCAGGAACTGTCAGGCCCATTTTAGATGATCTCTGCTTTTACAGGCACCGAGGCTTTAGTACCACCTTCCTTGGGCTGGTGCCCTGAGAAGTTTCACGGGATGGCAACTTTGAAAAGCTGACCTCCAAATACCTCCCTTGTCTTGTCTGTCTGCTCTGGGAACAGAAACCACACTTGCTTTACTACTGAATCTGCTGATCAAGGAACCCAGGTTGTTCCTGGCCTCCAAAGCCACTGAAACTCCTGAACTCTGGGCACCACCAACTTTCATTAGGGCTGGCTAAATAATCCTCAATTCAATACACTCTTGCAATATTGATCTTGACACTAACTCAAACTTTTCCGTATTAAAACTACTGAAGTCATGTGTAATCCTACCCTCCTGAACCACCTTAATCAACCACTCTTCCTCCTCAACAATTAGCAACCTAATTTTCACAGGTGCTGAGAAACCAGAAGACCTGTGTGGCCTGCAAGGGAACTGCCCCCTTTAAAAAAAAGAACAGACAGACTGTTCAAAGCAAAGCAAATTTTTACTTTAATCAGTAAACATCTTGTGGATGATGACCAGAATATTTCTCTGGTCAGGACAGGACTAGAGAGATTCACACTAAGTTTGCAGTATGTTTTTTAACACCTGGGTATCTGATTAAAAACCATGCTTTGTATTACTGAAGTCCTAATCTCTTCAACACAGCTCTACTATTTCTACCAGTACGCAGTGTCAGTATACAGTCAGGATTAGACTGTATTTTCAGATAAAGATTCACATACATTTCTAAAAGTAGCAAAAAAATAGAAAGAGGTTTCCCTTCCAAGCAAAACTTTCAAAGAAAGATGGGAGACAGCTTTGATCACTTTACCACTGGCATATCTACCTGAAAGGTAATTAAAATTCACTCAATTGTAAATTCGGTCAAAGTGTGAACTAATTAATGATCTAAGCAGGCTTTCCTGAGGGGCAGCCCATCACAAACACCTCACTACCATCAACTTCATCCTGTACATTCAGGTGATTTGCACGGTTTCCAAGTTCAACACTTCATGCAGAAGCTAAGTTGCAGCCCAGAAAATCTGGACTTCACCATTTAACAGGTGTGGGGGATTTTACACTCATGCAAAGAAGACATTTTGAGCCAAGTATTATTTGCCAACAGTGCCCTGAAACAGAAGTAACTCAACAGATCAGAGCCAGATTGCTGTGTGCACTATCGAGGCTGGCAGTCCTGACCCCTAGACCACTTTCACACAAAAACCTACACTGGCTGTAAATGGGTATCAGAATATCAAAGATTGGTCTGAAGCTTCAAGCCTGTTCTCTAGACGCATTCAAGTCTATGTGCAAATGGACTTGAGACAATTACACTCTGCGCTCCCATAGAGCTGTTGAGGAGGCCCTAGCATCAGATAGGACTATAAAAACCAGGCATTCCAACTAAAGAGTTCGTGCAAAGAAGAGCACTGTAGAGTAATGCAGCTCCAGAAGACTGAGCATGCAGAACCTTTAGCTATTTCTCTCTCCTCCTCTTTCATAAGCATAAAGATTTTATTTTAGTTACTGCTACCGTTAAGACAGTGATAGAGCTACATTTAAGTGGCTTAAACACATGTAAAAGCGAAATGGTTGGCAAAATTATTTTATAAATTTGCCCAGTGCTCTCAGCTTTCATAAGAACAGCATTTGGAATAGGAAAACAAAAACAAAATAAGATTATGGGTAGCCAGAAAAGCTAAAGTTAAATTACCTTTTTAATATTTTCCTTTAAAAGGCTTAAGTATATATTACTGAGAAAACGCAACACATTTATAAACTGAGAATGGGCATTTTTAGGTATTGTTAAAAAACAAAAACATGCTTAGCTGAAAAGGAGATGAAATGATGTTGCTAGGCAACATAGACAAACTATTTATAAAGCTCGAATACACTTTTGAGATGCTAAAATTTCCATGCATGTGGGTTTGAAGAGCAATGACAACTGCTCCTTAATTACTATTCAAGGTGACAAAGAAAAAAAAGTAGGCAGCATTTTTCATGACATACCGGAATGCCTTTGGTTTCTAGAATGAGGCTTGGAACATGCCTGGCAGAAAGTGCTATACGTATTGCATCTCGAATTCTTTTCACAAGATCCTCGCTGAACGGATGGTTTAATGCCATCTTCAGGAAGAGTATCACCCTCTCCTCCCCATCTTTGTTGTACTGAGGGACACAGAGGCTATCAGAAACCTCCTCAAAGGCTTCAACTGAAAATAAAGGAAGAGTCCTTATTAGCACTTGCATTCGTAGATTATTTGGGACAAATTTTTGGTGGTTGCACCAAAAGAAACAGCACCTCCCCTAGAGCTGCAAAGGCAAAACAGACAGCCTGGCTAGGTTATTCTACAATAAGCTTCCCCTCTGGGCAGCTCTGAAATTTTAACTCCTGCTCAGGTGAAAATCCAGGTTTAAGGACCATATATATTTAGGCCCAGGACAAAAAAAATTGCTATAACTTCTGGGACAGATAACAAGCCTTTACACCAAGTCATTTTCTTTGGCTTTCCTCACAATCCCCATTGCTGCATAGGCAGAAAACTAACATGCCTGATCGCACAAGAACAAGGAAAGGCAACAGGTCCTTAAATCTCAGATTAGCACCTTTGCAGGCACACAGTTTCACCTTATTGCCTTTCACAAGATAGACCTTCTTTGAAATATGAAGCATAAGCTCAAGAACTTCATCTAATTATTAGGAAAGATACTGTAAAACCAGTGTCAAGAGCTTGTCTTGGGGGGGGGGAGGGAAGAAAAGCCTCAGAAGTTAGGTATTCCCTTATAAACCTGCATGATATCATTAGTCTGTAAGGCCTTATTATATGAAAGCAACAACTTATGAGAACACATCTCAACTACTCATCTCCAGGCCTACAGATACTTCAGGAAAGCAACCAATTTCAAGTCTACAAAACAGAATTTTACTGTCAATGCTAATATGCTCTGTACTGTCTTTCATTTGAAAAATGGCAAGTCTTTTTTCACTTAATCCTTCCAAACACCTTTATAATGCTTACATTTCGGATGTAAGGCAACAATGTCATAGCTGAAAGAGGTGGAAAGTTAATTTCATACCTATGTTATAGATTTCAGAACTTCCAAATCTTACTCCATTTGGATTTAATGTACCGTCACTGAAAATAACACACAAATAAAACAAAGCAGCATTAAAATGTGATTAGAGTTTGATGAAAAGAGAAAAATTGATGCAATTAACCAAGTCTCTCTACATTTCATGCAGTGAATACGCAGCCACATTAGAAACAGAATTTTAAAAGAATTTGATTCAAAAAGGCATTTTGCTCATTAGAATGAAGTTGTACAGAGAACCTCAACATTATTCTCTAGTCCCTCCCCTTTCCAGCAGCCTACAAATACACACACATACCACTGACAACAAAACAGACCAAGAATCTTTGTAGTACTCGGTCATATTGCAATTGCATATCATTACTTTCCAGTCTCTTATAGCTGGAACTTGTGTTTCATATATAGCAGCCTCACACTGTATGTCTGTTGAGTAGGTCTATTTGTGACAATGCCAGACACAGCTTCACGGCATTCACTCAACTTTCTTTTGAATAGCAAGTTTTAAATGCAAGCAGAAAATTTAGCCACAATTGTGATCTTGAATGTCTATGATAGCTAACACAAGCACAACTTAATACCAGGCCTTCTATAATTAAGTTTTGCTGTAAAGCAAGTCAATAGCAAAGCCAAGACCAGAAGACAAGTTTCCTGATTCACCACCTTGAATGTACTGCGCTCTCAATTCAAACTCTTACAGATGATCATTATAAACCATGGAACACAAAACCAAGTCCAATACTGTCTTCTGTTCACATGTGCGGGGTAGAACTTTGAAATGGACTCTCCTCCCTCTAATCCAGCTGCTCTGATTAATTTAAGGGTTGAAATCTACAATACTGGATTTAACAAAACAAATATAAAGCTAACAGGCATGACAGAATCAAGTACATTATGCTCTAAGGTGAAGTTTGCAAATTTTAACACTTGTTTAGTCAGAACACTTTCACCAAAATACTATACCTGCGACCCAGCATGACAATTCCTCCTGTTTTGGGATTAATTTTGCAGTAATCACCATGGGCCCAAACACCTATTAGAGAATGACAGAGGTTAAGCAGCTCATTTCTTATTCATCCAGTCATGGCAGACATTTCTGTAACTCAACTCACATAACTTAGTATAATACATACAAAAATATAACATATCAGATATACTTTGACAACTACCCACAGCAAAAGTAGCAGTACTTCATGCAAACAATCCACCTTGCATTTACTATGAAGAGCTAGCATACACAAGAGTAGCTCATATATTAGGATCAAACCCTAGGTTATCTTCTGATTGCTTGTTTGCATGACTATACAGCATCCTTTAGAAAACAGATGAACAGCTGCTCTGAACGCCACATTTTGAGGAAACTGGAAGAATCTTCCACAAAGGTAACTACATTCCCACCAGTCTTTCTTGATTACTTCTTTTATGATGTACGATCCTGTGCAAGAAGCTTTCTGGGCTTGCACAACAGGTCTCAACAATTCCCTAGGGAGCTTATGTGCTTAATATTCTCGATTTGTGTTAATGTAAAATCAGATTTCACTCCTCAGAGCTGGAATAAATTTTGTATTATTTTTAAGACTGATACCACTACAGCAGCCTGCCACAAACAGAAATACAAGCCAAATCTACTCAAATTTTTCTAAAGAAAAAACAAACCTCCATTATTTGCACATGCATGTGCACGTAAGATCATTTCCTAACTTAGCTGTTACGACCTTAAGCCCATTTACAAGGCAAAACAGAACAGGAGGTTCAGACAGAACCTCTGGACCGCAGTGATTTCAGTCTAACAACTGTCACAGAGACTTTTTTTTTCCCCATTTACTGTTTTCAGGCTTACACAGAGACTACAAATTCCACATTCCCTCAATTTTCCTATGTGATTGTCTCCTGCTGCACATCCTGACTTGTGAATCCACTCTGTATTGCTGCTGTTTATAAAAAAGCTTCCGTCTCCAAAAAGAAGCAGCTTGAGGTCCTGCTCCCATAAAAGCCCCTGCCCAGTAGGCAGCAGGGAGTTCAGCATCACTGCGCCATGTAAGCAAAAGCTCTGGATGAGCAGAGTCCTCCACAATTATTAGGAAGAAAGCCTCTGGCCCACAGTACCTGTTCCTTTACACTTACCACCACTGGAAGGCAGTATGAATGCAGAATATGCATGTCTGAGGCAGCATATACTTAAACTTCATGCTAATGAGGTAGCAGGTCAGCACTTATCCCTTAGGATTCACTCCTCTGGCTAGGTAGGAGCAGTCTGGCAGAGGTGCAGTAGCACTCATTAATGGAGGATTGCTCCCTGACCTGTTCAGCACTTCCATTTCACACTCATGCCAAGCAGTCTATGTCTGCACTACAGATTATCAGGCTGTTACAGTCACATCTACCTTATGAGTGCAGGAGCAAAATGGGATTGGAGCTTTCCAGATACTCTTTTTAAACTCATTTGGAACCATATTCAAAACAAAGCACTAGAAAACAGAGTGAGATATTATGAAACATGCCGTGGAGTTCTCAGCCTGGAAATCTAGATTCAAAGCTGCACCTGCCTATCACCGGGCAAGAATAAACCTGTTCCTTCCTAAGAGAGGCAAAACAATCTATATCCTTGGTCAGTTTGAGCAATATCCAAAGCCCTTCATTACATACCTGGGAATTTTGAAAAATAAGCCTTCCTGTATTTGTTTCCATTCTCATCGTTCCAGAAGTGCGTAGGCTGACAGGGAATAGGCTTGGTACAAACCAGCTCTCCACTTTCACCCCAAACTGGTTTTCCTGTTTACAAAAAAAGAGGTATTTTCTGCATTTCCCTTCTATAAACCACAGAGTACTGAAGCAAAGAGCATCTACAGTTATTACTTACATGCCAGATGCTGATGTAGACACAAGATGACCCATGACTGGCGGTCTTAACACCTTTGTTCAATTCTTAAACTCACCCCTGTCTTAACCTCAGTAACTTCAGGACAGTTACACCACAGGGTGAAGCCAACCTGGCATCCACAGCAGCATAGCCAATTAGCATGCACACCACAGGCTAGAATTTGGCCTGATGTGCTTTATCAAAGTAATGGAAAATGAGGGCCTTTTTACGCATTGATTATCTTCCCTAGAGTCCTGTACAATCCAGATCAAATGGATCCAGATCCAGGTTTTGCAGAACGTGTCTCCAAAGTGAAACCACCCATTTACAGCTGTTTACGCATCTGATGACTGAAACATAAGGTCATATAATTATTGTATTTCATAAGTGTACATAGTATTTTCAATAATACTTACCTTCATCATTCCATGCTTCTACAGCCATTCCAAGATTTCTGGCCTGAATTTCTCCTTTGTAAACTGGAATTGTAACATTCTGACCCATAAAACACGAAATTATATCTGTCCCACCTACAATAAAAGAAGTCTATTAGAATACACAGCACACAGGAAAAAGCAAAACTGTTCTAGAGAACAGCAAGCTGCCACCTTTGCCAAATGCTTGTGATTCACATGAAGCAGCACAGAACATAACATCCTAGATAATACTGACTGTATGTGACTTAATAAAAAAAGGTTTCTCTTCTTACTTTATGTGTCTTTTTATGTGTATGCCCTTCATGCAGAAATATTCCTTAAGGCATAGCTTTTCCTCTTCCAACAGTTGCTTTAATCTCTCTTAAGGAAGTTTCCATTTATATAAGAATGAGAAAATAAAGAGGCTCTAGTTTACAGACTTAGATATTTAAGATCACTTAGAAATGTTTTCTTGTTTGTTTTCTTTAGTTTAAACTAACCAGGCAAGCTATTCCACTTAGTATTTACTTAGCTTTTGTACCTTGTTCTCATTAGCACACGGGCTGGGGGGGGTGGGAACCATGCCTACAGGATGAACAGTTATCTTAATAAAAATAGATACTGTCAAAGTGCTTGCTTCACTGGAATATTTATAGTCTTTCTATGACTTCAAGGAAGTAGAATTATAAGATACAAATCAATCTTGTTAGCTTTACTCAAAAATAGTCTTCTGCATTGGAGACTATTAACGTCTATAGTAGCGAGTTCAAGATTCAGCACTACTCTTACTAAGACCAGAGTCAGAGGTGCCTTTAGTAGCAGAATAGTCAGACTTTAAAAATCAAACTAAACTGAGTTAAAAAGCCCTTTGAAAAAGTCAGTCCTCGTTACAAAGCAGAATGAGGAGTTCTGTGGTGGACCTTAGGTGAATAGAAGTTGCCTCAGCTAGCACTCCTCACAACAAACTGCACAGTATGTGGGCTTGATATTTCTCTAATTATATAATTTACAGAAAATCTGTCTGCAGTACCAATTACTTGGCACAAAAGAATTGAAATGGGAACATGGAAAAACCTCTCCAAGAGGTATTTTCTGCTAAAGTCAGCTATTTGCAGAACAGTATGTTCTGTAGGTTAATAGACTCTTTTCTTGATCTCACCCTGCTACCCCTAAGGACAGTCAGTCAAAATAAATGATCCTGCTTGGAAAAAAGCTAAAACCCAAAACATCCACCACGTCAGAAACATTCCACCTAAAAGCCTTTGAGTGTACGTGCTTCATTATGACACACTGAATTATGCAGAAAATCTCTGCACTAAAAAGACAATTAATTCCAGTTTAACTATAACCAAGCCTGAATGATCCAAGGCTTGAGCTTCCCAAATACACAGCAGCAAACAAGCAAAAAGGAAATGCACAGGCAGTGAACAGAATTAGTAAGATGCATGCAGCATAAAAACATCACCTGAAATGGATCCCAGGAGGACACTGCTTTTTATGTGTTTGTAGACATACTCATAGCTTTGAGATTTGAGGGGTGATCCTGTAGACAGTATAGTGTGGAGTGTTTGGAGATTGTGTGTTTCACCTTAAAAAGGAGGAAATCAACCAAATAGGTTAAGGTAGAATTTTTACAAGAGTTTGTAACTATTTGGCACTACAATCCAGAATAATTACATAAAGGACTTTGCGACAAGACACAGGGCCAGAACCCGGAAAAGAAAGGCAGGAGGGAGGACAGAAGGGATTCAATAGTGTTTTGAAGCTTACATGGTTTTAAATTTTTCTCTTCTAGCACAGCCAGCCACTTTGCTCCTGTTCCAAGGATGGTGATCCTAGAGGGAAAGAAGTTTAAATGTTTTGCATATCCAAATATGCTAAGATTCTAAAGACCTGCAATTCCCACTGCAGTAAGCAGAGGCTGCAGACACTCTGTACATTGATCAGTCAAGCAATGTACTCTCTTAAAGCTTTCTAAGTGCAAGGCACATCCTTTTGAGCAATCAGAATTAGTCAGATCACATGTCTTTTCTGCAGCTTTGAGACTTTCAATCCTATCTTTAAATATTAAGCAAAGCTTTCCCACCTCGTGGAAACCATTCACTTTCATTTACAGGAATTCCTAACTGCAGAACACTCCAAAGACATCACAGAATGTTATAACATTTACTTCATTAATGGGCTGTAATTGCCACTAAGCTGTTTAACACAAAACTGCTGCCTTGTTACACTCTTACATATAAAAATTTTGCCACTTCAGGGCACAGTTTAACAAAGAATACTTCACTCTGAAAACAGCAGCCAGTGATTTTCTCTTAGATACCTGTTCAGTTTCCACTGATGAAAGCCTGAGTTGCAGGTGCCTAACTGAACATGAAATTTGGCCTAGCTAACTGAACAATTGAATTCCACCCTTGCAAAAAGTGTCTTGAGAGCTCTCCAATACAACATAATTAAAACTTGATTCCCTACTCTATCGATGGAAGTGCTAGTTTAATGTTTCTGCTGACTTTCGGGAAATCCTCTTCCCTGCCTTCTGCTAATTCATCTTATATTACAGCAATAAACTCACGAAAATGCAGAGAGAGAGATAAGGATAAGGGATAGAGTCTGAGTGCATAGAATATGGGCAATACATACATCAGTAGAACTTCAAATAAGATCCTGCTATCTTTGCTTTTACTCCAAAGGCAAGACGGAAGGTAGAACAGCTCCTGAGATGATAATACAGTTTCAGAAACGGAGAGAGGGCTGTTTCAACACTCTCAGAAGGGGATGTCTTCCTTTGCCATTTAGGTGGATGACAGGTACTGAGAGGCTGCCGCCTCTTGCGTAAGGACAGGGACAGGCTATTTGCACAATCACATTGGTACATAGAGCAATTTAGCAGGTACGTGGGAACAGCACTGTGAGAGCCCACAGAAGTATACTGCTCCTCCAGTCATCATGTACCACAATCATGTGAACTATTTTTACTCTTGTATAATACCTTTCTTTACTTCCATGCTTCAAATTATTGCTTATTTTACAGTTAGAATACATAATTCTTTTGTTTATTTTTAAGCACTTTGACACTTCCTCTACAGCACATGCAGAGCCTAGTCTCCTATTATTTCCTGCCAAATGCTATATAATTGGTGGATGTTGACTAAATACAGTTTGCTTGAACAGATCTTTAACTGATGTCCACTGAAGTAATTCTTGTCATGCAGTATGAAATATCTTGATGATACTCTAAGAATATGGGAAAGTATGGTACCTCTTCAGAGAAGTAAGGTACTCTTAACATGTTGAAGCCTTTTTTTTTTTTAAAATATGTAACATATGACTGAGTTGGGAACAGACTGCATTATGAAGTATCACACAGATGGCCACCGCTTTTAGCACCAGATTACAAAAGTGAGACATGCAGACACATTTCAGTTATCTTCACTTACTTTTGGCATGTAGAAACAATGCTTAAAAATAAGCTGTGTTATTTCTCGATTCTAAATTTTTGCCTGTTCTACTGGGGCTTTTTTGGGGAGGATGGAGGGTATCTTAAGTTTGTGGTTTTGTTTTGTGGTTTTTTTATTTTTTTACTGGAAGCATTCTGATTAGATATTAAACTTCAGCTATAATAGCCAGAGACAAAATGTCAGTCTTTAAATATCACGTCACAAAACACAGAGTGAAGTTTAAATTATTAATTATCAAAAGTCAGAAAGTGACTCTTTTGGCATCCACCTTCCACCACAAATAAATTTTAGTTATCAATTAAAAATGACACTCATTTTACCAGTAATATCATTCAGATCTACTCCTTACATCCAGTTGGCAAAATAGGGAAGTTACAAAAAAAAAAAAATTCAAAGTTTAACCAGTGTACAAAGCTAAATACCACCACAGGATTTTACAGCTGTTTATCCAATACCTGCCATTTCTCTAGGCTTCAAGAGAGGGCACCGTGAGCATGTTTAGGCACAAAGAACTGTGTAAAACAGTTAACAAACAGCTCAACAGGGAGAATTAGGCATTACAGATTAAAAAGCAAAATATGAAAATATAAGCAACCCTGCTGAGCCTTTCCAGCCAATTTATGTCTTTAAGTCAAAGTGCTATATTGAGACTTATGTTGAGCTGCTTGAAACAAAGGATTCTTATTTTCTAAGTTCTAAGTGTGCTCAGAAATTACTCTTCAGATTGCTCCCAATTACTGCCTTTTGAAAAGGCTGCTCTTGAAAACTGACTATTGAACCAAAATTCTTTGTTTGCTTGGAATCCAAACACTTGACTCAAATTTGAAACAATCAGCTCTATCTCTTCTGCTCTCTCTCAAAAACTGTTTTAGTACAAAATTTTAAAGCATAGTTCCACTCAAGGCTAAGCCAAAAGATAAACTATGTCACACTACACACTAGTTTCTGACCAGGAGAATGACACCTTTGATGAGGTTGCTTGTATGCAGTCATCGTTAACAGGAGCAAGGACCATTATCCTTCCATGTGATCTTGTTTACATACCCTAGTCTGTCAGTCAAGTCCCAGAGCACATTTGGTGATGGAATTAGAGGAGATCCATCATACAGGACCAGGGATGCTCCTGTAGCAAGTGCAGTCACTAACCAATTCCACATCATCCAGCCAGTCTGGAAAAGAGAAAATACCTACGTTAGTTTCTATCTTTGTCAGCTAGATGTCTGCTTTCCTGGCAGCTCTATCACAGGATCAGGAGTTTTGCTTGCTGGTAGAGGAGCTACAGGCAACTAGCAAATGATGGACAGGTGTAGCTCTTGGCAGAATTATCTGGACCAAAGCATGCTCCCTGCCCTTATGCAAGAGGTGTCATCTTCCCCTCCACTTTCCTTGCCCAAAGTTTTCCTGCTTTAAGAAACTGTTAAACCAACACTTGAGTTCATGCCCATCTCTGCTGATTATGTCTAATAATAGTATTTAGGAATCAGAAAATAAGGCTGGAGCACTGTTTATCCTCTCACCTGTCCCAAAACTGGATCAGCTACATGTTCCTGATGGATGTTCATCTAACTTATCTTTACAAATACCTAATGAGATGGGGATTCCGTACCTCCCTATACACATAACTTTAAAGCATGAGAGAGCCAGCATGAGAGAGCAAGAGACAGGACAATTTCAGGACAAGGTAATTATGATTCCTCCATGGAGATATTACAAACCGACTAGTAGTGTTAAAGTTCAGAAACCCATGAGGAAAGACATTAGCCTTCTCAAACTGTTACAGTAATAGAAGACTTTGGAATAATTTTCTTTACCACAGCATTAGAAAAAACCCACAGCACATAACTGAACTCCTACATAGATCAGTTTTATTCCCTTTCCTTTACTAAACTTAGAGTTGTACAGCTTCTTTCCTCCCCACCAAAACAAAGACATAACAGATTCTCATCTTCAGTATGGTCAAGCCTTGCATGATGCAGGAAGGTGGAGCCTGTTTTGCAGGTGATATTGATGAGGTAGGTAGATCAATAAACCTAAGAGACTGTAAAAGTCAATTTTCCTTACTAATTGGATCAGAAACATTTAATATGGGTTTGACCTTTCATCAGAAAGGTCCCTGTTGCATTTCGTTATTCCACCTGTTTTTTTTAAACTCCGTTAAGTAGGACAATCCCTTGCAGAACAAGAATTGAAAATACATTAAAATGTACTTGTAGATTTACAGGAAAAGCTCTCCCATCTTTATAGGAAAAATACATGAAAGTGTTTTTTACAATGCCTTAATAAACCACACTTGCCGTTGTATAGTACATAATAATGTCATTGCTGGTTATGTTGCCATGAAGAATGTGTTCCTTCAGATGCTGTATTAGCGTACCCTGAAAAAACATAGCAAAAGAAAAATGTAAGTTCACATAAATGAAAAGCAAAATTCTGACAGCACATTAAGACTTCAAAAAACCTAACGTTGTCAATCCTTCGAAGGATATACTCCAGGATTACAGGCAAGTATTTCCTTTTAACCACAGCTGAAGTAAATCCCAGAGCCTATCTACAGCAGCAGCAACTGCATTCTCCATCTTCTCACATAACTTTTCAGCCTCTCTCATTAGACCTCAGCAGTTCCCACTGCACATCACTTGTAATCTACGGAATAAATAACTTCACTTCCAACTCTGCCCAGCCATCGGAGTTGCAGAGTACTCCATGCAGGCTATAATTTTAACAGCATGCTTTTATCAGTCAGATTTTCCAAGATAAGCCCTTTGACAGAGTTTCATTGCCAGTATATCTAGGCAACTGGGAGGAATGAAGGACCTAGAGCTGCTATAAACTGCAGCAGCTGTTACACGTTAACACCGTTTATCCAAACTATCTTATCTATTAACATCTAGGAGACAAAAGACCTAACTGTACACATCTCTTGTAAACATTGAAGTGACTAGCAATGTGAAAAATCTCAATGCTCAAAGCATCAATGTGAACAATAATGTAGTTAAATATATTACTTCCTTTTCTCTTTTGTTGGAAATGCCACTGAAGTACCTTTCTGATCATCATTAAAGCATAACTTGTTAGGATAAATAAATTTACAAACTACTTCACTAAGTCACTTCACTGCAGCAACAAATTAATGTGGCTGATTTTAAAATAAAGGTGTTTTTTTGCATTTATGCAAGGAGTTATAGTGGAACTATTAAGAGCCTCATAAGCATGAAACAAGATTTATGCTGAAAGAAAATAGATTACAGATAAACATTTGAAATGAAAAAGGAGAGTCATAAAACTGGTACATGCTTCGGGAGAAAAGGCAGAAAACATTAAATAAAAATAAAGGAGTAAATCTTATTTTCTCTTTGCAACTCAAAGGAACCAGGTCTGCATTCACCTGCTACTCTTGGAATACACTAAGCTGTCACAATGCTGCCACCTAGCCATAGCTACCATTATCTATATTTAAAAATCTAAAAAAAATTTGGGATTTAGAAACACTGCATCTAACTTAACTGTTAAGGCTGCCTAAAGAATTGCAGGTGTTAACATAATTATTCCATTTATAAAAGTAAGCACATTGCCTCTGCAGGAGAATCTGAAAGAGCCACACAAAGCAGTGAAATTAAAAGTCAAATTCAATTAAAATAAATATTGGCTTTCTTTTTCCTCCATTTAGTTGTTGCTATTCAACAGTTTTGAAACCAAAAGGAAATTTTTTAACAGTGTCTTTAGGTAGAGGATACGAAATATTCCCTTGCAAAATCTGGTAACTATCAGTCTGGAAACAAAGGTATTGTGGTAGAAGGCATAGCTGTTCTAAGGAGCTAACAGCCCAAGATGCTCTCTTAAGTTTATTTATAGGACTTGTATGACCCTCAAAATAAACCCTAAGCATTTAGCATTTCATGACACAGATCTGGTAGCTGATAAAAACTTCAACTGGTCTGCCTGTCTTCATTGGGCTTAACATACGGCTGATAAAGAGCGGAGCATCTGGAGTGTCAAAAAAATCAGTAGGCACTGCTGCTCCTGAGCCAAACTATCAGCACATAAGGGACCAGTGCTAAGCGGTTACACAGCTCAGAGAGAGTGGCCACTCATGGCTGCTGGTCCTGGTCTCAAACCAGTGGTGTTCTCTATACAGCATTCAGAAAGAATCCGAGCGTGAAAAAAATCCTCAGAGCGATTTGCCTACAGTTAACACAAGAAATCTGTAGCAGCGCAGCTATTTAAGCCCAGGTCTTGCGAGTCCTTATGATGGATAGAAATGAACTGATTAGGATTTTGCCAAAAAAATTCTCTCCTTAGATAGTTGGGCATGTGCAATAACTGAAGAGGGGCCTGTATGAATGGGGTAAGAAGCAGAACCAACTTTTTTAGGACTTCAGAATAACAATTACTCACTAATGTTTTTCAATAACCCTCCAAACGCCTTTCTGTAGCACACCCAATTGTTCAATACAATATAGCTTTTCTTCCAAGACCAGAAAAATCTTACTCCCTCTGAGGCATTACTTTTTAAAACATCTCCCATGACCTGGCTTCATTATTTACATATGCTATTTCACTGTGTGTCAAGGAAACAGAATACATGCAGAGAAAACAGACCAGAAGCATACTGCAGAATTAGATAAACCGAGTTCTGAATTTAAAGGAAGCTGCCTATTAGCATCTATAAGATCAGTACAGTAACAAAACAGCACTGAAGCGCACTGCAAGTAAGCAACAAAAATGTCTTTACTGAAATGTCATCTCTTCTTGCATTTTTAACTATCAAACCCAAACTTCAGTTAATCTGAGGCTGGAAAATGAGACAAAGACTGTGGGCTAATTCTGCTTTTGTTGAAATCAGTGAGGATCCTCCTATCAATTACAGTGGAAACAAGATTAAGCCAAGAACAAACAGAGGAACCCGATCAAGTGTGCAGAAGACATCTAAGAATTTCGTTGCATGGATTTTACTGTATTCAAACTGACACGTACAAAGCATGCAAACGAAGGAAGCCTCTGATGCAACAATTTGCTTTTAGGCCACAGGTGTTAGCACCAGCACTTAAGAAAAAAAAATACCACCCTGCAATACAGGAACTACAGAGCTGCTCAGCAGAAGCCTCATAAATAACATATCCTAGTCAAACCAGCACGTTCCTTCCTCCCCAGCAAGGATGAGTAGTCTGTACCTAAACTCTAAGGTAGTTCTGTATGAACTAAAAGATGATTCAGATGGAGAGCAGAGGCATGATTAAGGGCAACCTAAGCAGCCATACAGATAACACGGGAAAGAGAAAGAACTTTGCAACAGAGAAAAGTCCTGTTGTCTGATCTACATCTGCATTTTTCATCTCCCTACTGTTTACCATGCATTGCTGAACAAAACACCCGTCCAGTTTTTGCTAATCCATCTCTGCAAGTACTTAACCTGTCTAAAGCCAGCACAGCTTCCAAACAGCTGTCAAACTTCAAAATATACCTCTTCCTTTCTTCTTCACAAACATGGGATTTGTGTCCCAAAGGGACCATTTTGTGTGTCATATACTGCCTGGTATGATCTCCTATTGATTAATATATTAAAGCAGAGTGTTTACAGGCAGCATGGGATTTGTCTGTGGGCAAGTCCTCCAGTCCTTGCCATCAGAGAGGTGTGAATGTACACGCTGTGGGTGTAACATCAAAGCGATCCTGCCCTCAGGCTACCTAGACAACCCTATAGCCAGTCTCCTAAAATGTTAATCCAGACTTTCAGAGCAAAGAGCAGAAACAATGGAAACTGGCTAACAGTTGTGCAGTTTAATTTATACAAGTTGGCACAAATGTGCTAGACAACACATTCTGCGTGCCTTAAGGGGAAAAAGCCCTGCCTTTTATTACGGACTATACTAATGGCAGAGTTAAAGTTTCAACACTATTGCCTGATGGCTGGAGTCACTTCCTGAACTTGAGTAAGTTGCCTAGAACAACTTTTAGAACATGAATAGTAAATGGAAAGCATGTGAGCACGGGTGATTCTGGCAGTAACAGCGTATATATTTTTAGTCATAACAAGACACTGCCTAAAGCAAAGCTTCCATACAAAGCAAAACCTACACCCAAAGAGATAGCTAACCTTCTGGCTTCCTTCCTTAAGAAAAGATTGATGAGGATAACATACTCTAAACTCATAAATGTAGGGAGTAAAGTTTAAGGTCAAAAAAATTCTAGATAATAAAACCTGCAAGCTCCCTATGGGCCTCAACTTGACAGTGTCCAAAAATCAGTTCCAAGCACCCAATTCAAGTCCTTTGGCCTTTTTTCTACAAGTATCAGTTGGGCCAGTTCTACTAGTGCTTTTGTGACAGACACTTGCTCCCAGGAAATAGCTGAAATCTCCGAAAGGTCTCCACACCAATCTCTAAACCAAATTATTTTACATCCTTATTAATCCATATTTGCTTTCGAACAGTCACGTACAAATAGAAAGTTTCACTGCAAGTTACTGAAGCACTGTCGGCAATCAATTCTTCCTTGAAGTACATCATGATATGATACTGTTAAAGGAAAGACATAACCCAGGTAGTTATATATAGATAGCACAGCTCCAGGAGGGAAGACATACCCCTGCTGAATGAACCATGCATTTTGGTGCCCCTGTTGTGCCTGATGAATACATGATAAAGAGAGGATGACTGAAAGGCAGCTGCTCAAACTCCAGCTGGGGGGCCGGGTCTCCTTTCCCAGTAGCAAGAAAGTCTTCTAAAAAGACACTGCATAAGAGAAGAATAAAGGAACATTTCAAATTTCTTTTTTTTAAAGCATTACCCCAGCCCATATATAAGATTACCTCTGTATCTAATAGTTCTTTTGCAATAAACTATATACTCAAATTATATATATTATTTTTATTCCTAGTCTTTCTACTCTGTTTGAATTGCTAATTGTTTTGTTTCCTCCTTCTGTTTTCAAATAAAACATTAGTATAATATTGAGATGTAACACAACAAAATCAAGCCAATAAATCTGCACCTATGATCAGCTGCCAGCCTTAACAGCTCAAAGCAGACTGGAACAATCTGACCCTCAACAAAGTCTGGAACTCAACCATTTCCAAAAGGTATCTAACATACATAATTCAGACCAGTAAATAAGAAAAACAAATTATCTCTAAAAATGTCACTTAAATTATTAATCATTCATTTCTGGAAGCCACTTTCTTCTCCCTGCTATATGCTATTGAATTTTGCCTTCATTTGAGAACCATTAATACCAACCAACAGTGGTTTTGTAGAAGCAAAACATCTGCAGCAACATACTACTTCTGTTTTCAGTATGAAGCTGAACCCACACTATGGAATTTGGCTAAACCCTAGCTTTTGCAAGTTCAAGAGGTCAGGCAGTTTCAATAGCTGCCAGCATCCCTAGTTAGGACAGTCACAGCTCAAAAGCTCCCATTACCTGTTTGGAATCTTAGAAATATCTATGGTTTCTCTTGAGGAGATGTATGGAATCACCACCACTTTTTTTATATCTGGAAGCCCTTGAAGAAAGAAGAAAAATAATTATTTCCTACATTCAGTTACATAAACTGAAGGTCTTCTCTGTCCGAGTGGATCGTACAGCAGAATGCATTAAGTGACAGAAATAATTCTGATGCATGGAGTATTGGATATAGTTTTAAATGTTAAGAAACCCCAAAAGACTAAATTGTTGCCTTAGATACAATTTCCTCAACACCACCAGCTTTTTAAAAGAGATACATGTGTAAATTTGCAAGCTTTAGTGCTGTAATACTTCTTCATTTGTCTTCAGCAGCACTTCAGTTGGACTTAAAAAAACCCAGTATCATCAGTCCCGCACTTACATTGCTGACTAATTCATGATATATTTAAGCTAACCAAGCAAAAGACTGTTAGAATTACATGAAAGACTGGTTAGTTTTTACTCAAATCAGTTCTGAAATTTTAAGTGGTCACAGAGATACTGTAAAGGAGGAAGGACAGTGACAAGCAGTCAAAAATGTCACTTTTAGTGGCAGTGCAGGCTCTGAGTGCTCACAGAACTACAGCATAACTAAGACTAGATGGTATGCAGTGAAATACCTTTTACCACACTAAGCAGCTTTTCCAAGTGGTTATGTTCTTTGCCATTGTATATAACAGCTTCAACAGAGAAGATAAGCTTAGGCTGAATTTGGGAAAATCTGTCCAGTACACCCTAGGGACAAAGAGAAGAACAAGTTAAAACAATGAAATTAATTGCTACAGTAGGAAAACCCACTGGATGCTAAATACAAATCTCAATTCAAGCAAGGAATAAGGACAGGCTTTATCAGGAGAATTGTTAGAAGACTGCCTGCTTGTCTTTCACTCACCCAAGATCTTCAGAATGCAACAGGTCTGTAACAATCTATTTCATGACCCCCAAATACATCAACCAATAACGAAGATTAAATCACCACAGATCATAGAACATCATTCACTGAAGGATCAAGTTCACAAAGGTATCTAAGCAGTTAAAAATTCACCTTAGGAATCAGATTTATAAACTTGTCTGAAGAGGATAAGCACCCAACTGTGATGTGAGCCGGAGTTCGGCACTTAATTTACCTGAAGGCCCACAAGACTCCTGTCTGTGCCTGCAGGCAGGTGCTCTGCACGCCCTTGTAAACTGCCCCCAGTGCTGCTTTGACAACATACCAGTGGTTTCATAGTCTGCACAGGGGGAAAACTGAAAAGCACCCGTCTTCCGGAAGATGCATTTATCATATGGCAAGGTGGCACTTCACATGAACTGGCAGCTTTGTTCCGCTATGATTAACAAAGCAAACTGTACCACTGATTTTTGCCAGAACAACTAGATATTGAACACACACATACATACGTACTACCAACAAAAACTACCACAGCTCCTTTAGAACCTCTGGGGCCCGACACATTCAAATGCTAAATTTTCAGATGTCTCCTCTAGCTTACACTGTTTTCAGGAATTTACTATAGCCATTATCACATTTGAGAGAAAAACCCTTCTGGCCTTTATTTTCTTTTTTTTCAGGTACACCCCATGCAGCAGTCTACCAGAAATGGATCTTTTTGTATTCAACAGCAAGAAGCAAATCCTTTTAGTAAAAGCTCTCAGCACACAGTAATGTTCATCCCTCTCTAGCTACATTACTTGAAACATTAAGAACAAGATCACTCAATACTGTAAAATTGTCAGCTAACTGTTGAAGAACAATCTCCTAAATCATGTTGGAAAAAACAGACTTCAGTCATGTGCTTATGCTTCCCAGCATTCTTTATTCTTCTGTCTCCTGCTTTGTCCTCTACTTTGCAGCCAAAATGAGACAAATTATTACCAAATCAAAAGATGCAAAAACATCACAATCAATCAATCTCTGTTAAACTCCTCCTTTCCAAGCTGGGCTGGTCAGGGTTGCAAGAAAGCCTACTGCAAAAATACAGAGGTCCTGTCCTGACAACTTCTCCATGTTGTGTTTTTAGGAAAGCTCACTGAACACCACAGGTAAGGTACAGGGATATGACTAAATATAAATATGCAACTGCTCTGCTGAATATGTCACTTAACAGCTCTCTCATCACCCAAAGATGTATTTACCTTTCCTTGTTCACAGCATAAGAAAATACAGTGACAGTGCATTGACACCTAACTTTATCAATTAGTTTAAAATAAAAATCACCAGAATCTGTTTCAGTGGCAGAAGAGGTTTTCAAGAAGCCCCTAATACATTAGCTAACAAACTCAGAAATGTAGATTTAATTAATACATTAAAGTTACTCTCTAAGGGAGTATGAAATCAAATTTCCTGCTTTCTTAGGCATATTATCATACCTAACTTCTTTGTACCATTTTCAAAGAGTAGACCAAGCAGCCAAAGTACACACAGCTTGTGTGTGTATATATATACACGTGTGTGCGTGTGTATACACATTCATGCTGAGCACAGAGCATACATACCCCATATCCGTGCTGCCTGATGTTTAAAAATGAAGACCAATGAGAGGACTAAGGGTACTCTAACAGAAGAATCAAATCTGAAGAGAAGTGCGAATCAGAAACAGAGATGACTAGAATTCTCAGGGTCTTACTATTCCTGCTAACGTACCCCGTTGGATTCATTAGCACTGGCAGGACCAAATCCCACAGGGCAGCCTGGTATGGTACAAAGGCAATACAGACGGACAGAACATGTAATTGCTACACTGGAACTTTAATCCAACCAGATGGCTCAGCAAGGAATTGCTTTCATGAAAAGCTCAGGTGTACCAGACATGGCTCATTCTATTCTACGAACCTCAAATCCAGCACCAAAAATTGTGCAGCACCCCATGAACAGGGCTGCACTGACTCTGCTAGGGCTCACCAAAGCTTTCTCACTCCAAGAGCAGAGCCTCTTCTTAAACTTACATATCCAACAATTTCTTATGCACAGGCCGCAAAGAACCACTTTCCTATTAATATACATAAATGGATAACAGGGACTAGAGAAATGAAGCAAAAGCTGCCAAGAGTGGCATTCTGTGTGGGAGGGAGCTCACTGGTTCTCTGACAGCAGACTTCCTGAACGCTTGCACAGTCTTTGGATGTATGGCATTCAGAGCCTGCAATGCGTAGGCAGTTCTGAAAAGTGACATTTCTAAGCTTCACAAAACATATATACACAATTGGATTTGAAATGTTGAAAACGCTACATTATTTCCCAAAACACAGACAAAAATCTTCATTTATGTTAACAGGACTAACCGCAACTGCACAGAAGGAAGAATATCTTTTTCTTAGGGTGGAAGCCAATATCCCAGAGGACCTCTGCTGATCTCCCTCAAGATTTTAGGGTTTGAATTCATGCCAACACATGCTGCTGAGCCAAAGGAGAATAAATGATATCGATGGTACTGCTGCTCCAAGGCTAAGTTTCATTAAAAAACTATACAAAAACTAAATAAAGCTGGGAACTGAAAATAACAGCACATCAACATGGACAGAAAACATACCAGTACTCTGTAATGCAAGCAAAATGAACAATCTTCCCCCAGATGAGAGATCAAATCACATTGCAAAGAAAATACTCCATACTGTCATTTTCTGAGCAAGCAGAAAATATTTGTAGAACAGATTGATCATTACATGCTGTAATGATTTTTTTAATCATTTTTTCCCCAATGATACAACCTCAAGTGTAAGAAAGTGGAATGCTGCTGCCCTCTAGCGCTAATCGAGATGGCAGTTCCATACATTTAACCAGCTACTGGGGTTAAACACCGAGATCGAGGGGAATGTATTACCTACAAACTTCGGTATTTTCTGTGTTCTGCTATGCACAAACAGTACATTCTCCAAATGGTTTCATGCAAACTTTTAAATAGAAGAAAGATTCAACACTCCATTTTAGAAGTGATTTGTATCTGTTGCTGCTTATGATGTGTGCTGAAGACTTTCCAAAGAAAGCAGAATATATTCCCAAAGCTTCCAGGGCACACTGTACTGTCTGTTTGGCTATAATGGTAATTTTTACCATATTTTACACACAGCATTTATTCCTGCACTAAAAAGAGTTAAACAGGTTAGCTATACTAGCCTGAAACACCTCACCTTGTTGGCAAACATAAAGCCTTCTGGAAAAGATCAACCGGGGTATTGCTCAGTTTACTCACACAGGAGGCAGAGGAAGGGACAACCGAGGCAAAGAAACTGGAGTGTGGGTAAGCAGCCTGGGGAAAGATTTGGGAAGGAAGGGCCAAGCCCCAGACAACTCTGTTGCCTTGCTGCTCATTTGCACATTTAATATAATAAAAGCTCACCAAGACTATGGATTCCGCCTGAAAATAGCCCAACAGCAAGTTAGCTAAGATACTCAAATGACTATGCTGAAAGTTGTCACTGACAGCTGAAAGCATGGGTTTTCATTCAGTTTGTGGTTAGCTAGAAAAAAATTTGATGTACTGGGCTGTGCCAGGAGGTGGCAGTAAGACTAAAGTGAACAGAATCTATCGGCCACTTTAATTATCACCTTCACATTTGTCTGAAACATAATGATAGCTTTTCTGCAACAGGCAACAATAAGGCTACTCACGTTAATGCCAAAGTCCGGTGATGTTGAACTCCAAATAGCACCAATACTCGCAGCAGCCAGCATTGCTTCCACCGCATGAATGCTGTTTGGTAAGTAACCTATGGCAGAATTCGAATCGTTAGAGATACAAGAAAATAAAAAATACCAAATCTTACAGTAAATATAATGTATACAATAGCCAGTTTAAACAGATTTAAAAACCCCCAAAAATCCAAGACTGAAGCATCCTTTAAAGTCTTCCAGACAATCATAATGTCCTCCTTCAAAGTCAAATCAGTTACACAAGGAATTAGAAATAATTCCATTTATAAAAATAGTTGTATCAGTTTTTATACCTACAAGGTTACTCCCAATTTACAAATGTTTCTGCTTAATTAATGAGACTTTCAGGATAAGAGGGCAGCATGCTGAAAAGACGAACTGGGAGAGAGAGTAAGCCTGTGGATTGAATAGGGTACATAGAGACTAAGAACACAGCACCATGCAGGGAATAGAACAAGTCTGTAGAAACAGCCATTAGAGAAAGAACAAGTATCTGGAAGGAAAAATTATAACTCAGTTCAAAAGCAGAGATGCAGCTTTACAAAGCTAAACATTGTCTGGTAGACACTGCCAGAATCTTAAACACAAACAAGCAAAACCAGTGTCTCAGCTGATAAGGGAGTGATACAGTGGGACAAGGCCTGGAACATTCCCACACAAATGAAGCTCTTCAGGTTTATCTCATTAGCTTGCAGCAAGGTTTCAAGATTTAAATTCAATTTATCAAGGCATACAGAAGAAATTGATGTCAGGAAAGTTAGATTTTCAGTGGGCTCAATTTGAGCAACCCTCCAGAAGGTGCTGGGTGGCTGAGATTGACTCTCAACTGATCAGATTCAAACCCCCAAATGAAAACATGCAACCAGAATTCCCACACTACACTAAAGTGGATCAAAGATCTGGAGTTTCAGATGGTCCTTCTTAAGCAACCAGAAAGATGTCCAAGTACTTCAAAAAAGGCACATGACAGGCCTAATTGCAGTACTTGGACATCTAGTTAGAATTCAGTGTTCAAAAGCAAATTTAAATGGCAATAAAAATGCTTTCCAACGCCTTTAAAGAAAGTGATGAGCACTGACAGATCTTGGACTGCACTGCAAGTTGCAGGTGCTCCACAAGTATCTACCAGACAGCAAAAACTCACTAGTGCTAGGCAATTTTCAAAGATATTTATGGATGTACTTTTCAGGACAGGAACTAAAATCACAGATCTTAGTAGCAATTTGTATTACGTTAACTTTATCAAGTAGGATGGTACTGAGCTTGATTTTTGCCAGTTTGTCTACACAGCTTGAAAAAAATCTATCCTTTTTCAACTTTGTAAAAAGCAGACTTTAAAAGCAAGTCTTAATTTAAACTGAGATTTTTCTTCACAATTCAAAAATCAGTGAAATTGTTTCTTAAACCAGCTTGACCACTTCAGTTAATCTGTAAGCTCCTGTGCTTTTGGGAGTAGCAACTTTGAAAACAGTATTATGACTTAAGCACAAGTTCTCAAAAAAACCCCACAACTGTGAATAAAAGCCTCATACCGTGTTCAGATAGAAATCACTCTCTAGGACTGCCTACAGTTTGTGGTGTTTTGTTCAGTGAAGTTCTTCAGTACATAAAGTGCAGCAAAACCTCAGGTCCATAAAGGCATTATTTATTTTGCTATTTTTCCCCTTAGGGTCAAGGTTTATGATACAAGGTACAGTATCCCAAAATTTTAGTGATTTTTCTTTTAAGAGAAATCTTCCTTCCTGAACAATAATTTGAAATATATAAACCAGAACAGGCTAAAATGTCATTTTGTGTGATGGAAGCAGTTCTTTTTTAATTGATGCCAAATATGTCCATTGAGCATTTCCTGGATGGGACTATCAGGGGGCCACAGTGCAATAAAAACTAAAAGATGTGTCTTCATGCTTTGGAGCAGTTATTACCATGCCGTAGCTTACAAGCATCAGTTTGGTTATAAGCAAGTTCTCCTTTTTACCACTCCTACAAAAGCCCTCAAGGCAAGAACACGAAGTCCCTGCTTATTATTGTGAGCCAGACAATTAACTCATTACTTTCATTTGTCAGTTGGCTTTGAGGTGGTGTTTGAGTTTTAGACGGTATCAGCCAAAACTGCCAAAAGGTATGAAACATGCAAAGTAACTTACTCTGCATTTCTGTATCTTTGCCCAATCATTGCAGGCAGCCAGCCTGCTTGTTCACTGGGATTTTCACGTATTTGTCCTGATGTCCAACACCAAGTATTATGAATAAAAATGCGGTTCTATTCTGGAAAGAGCTCCTCCAAACATAGCAATGTAAGAATTCGGGTTGCTTTTCTCTCGACAGCTCCCAACTCTGAGTGACACAAACTACTTCTCCTGTCAGTCTTTCAGATTAAAATTGGATTCTCAGAAATAAAACCCATTTCTCCCTTTCTCACATCAGAGATTCTGCAAACCAATTACAGCAACTGTCATGTATGTAAAACTCCCTGCATTTGACTGTGCCCCTTGAGATATCAACTGACTCTTCAAAGCATTCAGTAGGCTGACACAGGTCATAAGTATCTAAAACTTGGTAAACAGGAATGTTGCTGACAGAGTACAAAAAATCCAACCTTTTTAGCTGGATTCACATCAGGGGTCACAGAACAGTGACCTATGTAGAGAAGCTCGGTACTACAGAAGAATAATGGTACAGCTAATTTAAATATTCATCCTATGTTTGTTCATATATTTAACTAGAGCCTCCATGTTCCTTGATACAATATTTCAGCTAAGGATCAAAACTAGCATTTGTCAACATGGGTAAGTCTACAGAAGGTACTTCTCTATCTCTGTATCTTAACTTACCCCTTTCTTGAAGCTGGTAAAGAAAGGTGAAAAGTACCTTCTGTTACTAGAAAGAGGAGGATCTTCATACCCTCTTTGGGTGAACTAGAAAGCAGTTGAATAGAGGGCTCAAAACACAGGAGATGGGAATCCAGCAACTAGGAATCCAGAGCATGTCATACTAAGGGTCCTAGCAGCACTCCTCCTGGCTCATAAGTATGTATAAAATCTCCATAAGGACAAAGAAATAAATGCTTTACTTTGACATAAAACCTGTGGTAAATCTCTAAGCAGGACAAACAGTATCTTAAAAACACGGTATGGATTTTTTTAAGAGGTACTCACAGCCTGATCTGCTCAGGACAGCATTCTCTGTCAGTTGCTATTTACTTAATCTACCATATGCTGAGATTAAACTGAGATTTGTTCATTTGCACAACAGTACTTTACCAACAGAACAGGTGAAAACTGTCATCCAAAGATTTCTGGTATAATCATGCTGGAAACTATGTCAAAAGTCTCATTTCTCAGAGTGCTGAGAACGCATTCCCTGCCAGTATTTGATGCCTTCATAACGTAGAACCAATGTGTACTCAGAGACAGAAGCATCCAAACATTTGTAGTCGTCTGAATGAAAAAAAAAACCCCACCAAAAAAAAAAAACCCAAACTTGTACACTGCATCAAAGATTGAGTTAGAGCTTTGCATCGGGAAGAAGGAAAGCAGGGAGCTACGACTGAAATATCCTCTCAATGGCTTATACTATTGATCTACACCAGCTCTCAAACAGAAGAGACAATTCAGAGACCAGACTTCCAGTTTCTCTTTTTGATGTTAATACAGCATTTCATACTCCTGTAGGACTTTAAAGTGGTCATCCTGCCTAACATTACTGTGGCCTGAGACTATTAGTAACGTGCTAATCTTCTTACAAAGCTAGCTTTAAAACCCACGTAAGCAACCAGGGCTAATACAGTTACTATAGATAAAATACCAGCTTTAAACAATGTAATTCACTGATGTTTTGTTGAGGATTTTTTGTGTGAACACATGGGGAAGATTAGTTTGTTTTTAACTGCTGACTTGTAATAGAACAATGCTGGCTACAGGGATATAACAGAAGCAACCTATTTGGCGATGAAAAACACGGATACTCCACATTTTATTCTATTCCGTCTGCAGTCATTGCTATTTGCCAAACAGATGGCCGGTGGGAGAGCAGGAGTACTTCACATGTGGATTTGTGTAGCTTGCATTAGGTATTTTATCTGTTTCTTCCAACAGTTGAAGCATCATTGACAGTATTGCAAGGCATCTTTAGAAGAGAGATGTTTCACCACACATCTGCTTCAATTATGTTTACTATTAAGTGCTATCTCCTTAGCGATGGAAAGGGAAGACTAGGATGAAATCGAGCTGAAAAAGCGCTGACATCGCTGCTTGTCTGCCTACATTCACCCACCTCCAACTTTAACATACTATTACTGTCATGAGGCAACCATAAATTGTATCGAACAAACTAGGGGATATGTTAAGTATAATCAAAAGTTAAAGCAGTCTTGTCTTAGAGGCAGTAAAGCACAGAGATGAAATTCACAAGAAGAAAACAATGTTAATGGTCTTGTGTATAATTCTAACAGCTCAAGTTTTTAAGTGATCTTAAGAGAAAGTGGCAACAAAGGGCATCGGCACCTGTCAGGCTGACTAGGTGTCAGGCAACTATAATAAAATTAATAAAATATCTCTCTTCTATTTAAAAGCTGTTTTTTCAGAAGCAGTAAAAGCATGCTCTGTATTACCGCTATAAACCACATGAAGAATCACCCTTCCTTCTGCCATCTGCTACAAATTTGGGAACAAATTAGGTCCCAGTAGATTTTGGCAAGCCTGATCTTTGATACCACAAGTGGGTGTATGACTCAAACTTTCCCACCCAACACTTAACATCTCTCCCCCATTTCAATGAAGGGATTTGGAGAAAAGCCCGCAGCCTCAACCTCGGACTGTGATGTTACGATTTAGCTCTTCCAAGGACTGCCAATGTCCTCTGGCATAGGAGAGAAACATACCAAAGAAGTTGAGACCCAAGTTAAAAAAAAATACAAACAAACCTCTCTCTCTAAATAGCTGGATTGCTGTTAAAAATCCCATCGGATTTCTTTCACAGGGAAGCTCTCCCTAGATATGGGTTGCTTGCTGCCCAAGGCAAAGCAATCCGCCAGAGTCAGGAGTCTAGGACTGAGGGCACCAGGGGAAGGCAAGGACAGGGACAGCTCAACTGATGGGAGCTGATACGGGTTCACCTGACTGAAGATGACGAGGAGAAGACTCTCTCATCAGCCAGGGTAAGAGAGCAGAGTGGAAAAAAAACTAGAATGTGAGAAATTGCCCAGAAGAAAAAAAGCATGTGAAGACCATGGATAATTTAAAAAGCTCTGCCTGAGGCCAAAACCATACCCTGCTTTTAAGGAAGCAAGGAGGCTGCCTAGATTCATTAATCTTTTCTGTTATCAAAAGTAAAGGGTTTTGTAAGGACTCCAAGCACAATGCAAGCCTGCTTCCACAAATAAGCTAAAACTGCTTGTAAAGACATGCTTAAGTTATGGAAATGCTCAAGGGGCCCAGCACAGATACTTGGTACCCAGAGCAGGTGGGCAGAAAGGTCTCTGCTGTGGGAGTGCCAGACAGCAAACCTGTGCTCAGGAAATGCATAAAAAGGACAAGAGAAAAAACAAAGCTCCCATCCTTGGAGTAAGCTCCCGCTTAACTCCAGAGATTTAGGCAGCTGGGATCCAAATAGTGTTTTTCATTGTATTTTCAATGTATTTGTTTCCTTTTTCATTTGTTTTTTGGTGGGGTTTTTGGTTTGTTTGGGTTCTTTTAAGTAACAGTAGCACCACCAGATAGCCAGAGACTGCAATTTGTGCCGCCTCCTGAAATCACTAAAAATCCTTCCAGGTTTCCCATTGGAGTCAACACGCACATTTTCTCTCCCAAGAACAGGACAAAGTGCACAGTTAAAATCCTACCCTTTCTGTGGAAGGAAGCCCTAACATTAAGGATGAATTTTCAACAGAAACTTGGAATTGCTACCTTCTGCATGTAAAAAACCCTGTCTAAATAAAAATAAGCAGTATCTAAAACATACTATTTTATTCATACAATCTTATTTTTTGAAGTAGCAGCTATTTAAATAAGAGGTGAGCCAGCTGCCAAAACAACAAACGAGATTCAAGAGTCAGCCAGCCTCCAGTTGTGGTAAGCAAACTACAGTCATTAACTAAAAGGAACTATTATAATTTTAATAGCAGCATTTTTAACTTAATTATTAGCACCGCTGACTACAGCTATATTTCAATAGCACATTTTCTCCAGTTACAGAGCACATTTCCCCTGCGTAGCATACCTTACTAAGAACTACTCACAAGATGAATGCAAAATGACAGCATCATACATTGTCGTCTTTTCCCAACCAGTATTTCTAACTGGTTTTGATTAGGAGAGTTCTAGCAGTGATAACCAGGTTGCGAACACAACTTTAATTTGCACCTTAGAACACAAAAAATCTTGTGTAGATAAAATAATCTTAATTCAGAATGAATGTTCCCATTAAATGTGACTGCACCTGGTCATACTTAAACATTAGTATTATTACATCTGTTACCCTAGTGAGCAGTATTTTCTTCCTAGAGACTAAAAACCTGTCATTCAGCATCAGACATCAATACGTAAAGCCTAAGAAATGGACTTTAAACCTAAGAGTTAGGACAGCAGCAAAGAACAGCAGGTTTCTTCTACTCTACTTATAAAACAGTAAGGAATAGTGTATTAAATCCCCACAAGCAGTGTACAAAACAGAGCATTTGAATTTTTTTGTACACATCAGGAGAAATTTCATTGCAAAGATCAGAAAAGAGTGCATCCTGTGTGCTTCACAATGACAGACATTTACAGAAAGCATTAAAAGGGGTCGGCAAAAACCTGACTAGGACTTCGATTGGTTTCATGATGTCCAAGTTTCCAGTTATATGCATAATTACACATTGTTTTGCCAATGTCTTTGGGGCAACTTTTTAAAACACACACGATCCACTTTTACCATTTGATGTACACATCAGAGCACAGGTAGTAAGAAACACTACACTGAAGTTCTAGATACTCAAACTTTGTGAAGTGTAAGTTTTCCTATTCATTAGTTTGGTTGCAGACAGAGGCTGTTGCTCCTCAACAAGTTGTCAGATATGAACACGACAGTGTTAAGACTGAAAATGGAGACCGAATTAGAGCATCTTAACTTAGTCTTTATTCAGACAAACCTTCCCGACTTCATACCCAATTAAGGATTTAGTTCTAATTCCATGTAAAAAAACAAGCCACCAGCTGTGATAATTAAATGCTCAATTACCAGTTCCGTAGAATACTCATACCATATGCATGAAGTATAAGCTCTCTTGAGTATATTTTCCATTTGTAGGTCATATTTGTGGGTTTAATAAAAATAATAACGCATACCCTTCTGTTTTTGAAGACATGGGTTCGAGTTCTGGTTTGTAACATGCAGAAAATAAACCAAATAGTTTCATCACTTTGGGTTTGCATCATGTAACAATTTACATATACTTAGGATAATGGCCAAATATTGCTCAAAGAACATGCAATTCCAGTAATAAGATGGATATGCACTTCAGCAGGCAGAAGTGAAGGAGCTTCAAAGGTATTACAGTTTTGACTTGCACCACACTAACAAAACTAAAGAGCACATGTTACAGAGCACATGAAGTACAGAGATGAAGCGGCTCAGCTGGAAGATCAAAACCAGCAATTCAGAAATAAATGGACTGAGGCCAGCAACTCCTTTCTATGCCTGGACTGTATACCATACAAGCTGTTCACAAGACAAAAAAACTGGTTATTAGAAAAATCTGCATGACAGTCTTATGACAGGAAATATTAGTCTAGAATTTTTTGTCAGTTACTGAAAGGATCACAGGGTTCTAACTACTAAGCTCTGCATTGGTATGACTTGAAAAGTTACCGCTCACCAGCTGTTCACTACGACCATTCTGGAAGTCACTACTCCCAAAAGCACTGATGGCAGAAGATAGCACAAGTCCATTCCTCAAGAACTGCAATTCACAGTGCACCGCATTACCTGGGGCTGTAAGGTCAGTATTTGCCAACTGACACCAGAACAACCAACCTGGGACCATAATTTCCAAGACTGGCCCCATGTGAATCTGCCAGACCTTGCGAGTCAAAGCTCAGCTAGATGCAAAGTCTCCATCACTTCCACTACCACGGAGTGCTTACGAAGCAGACCTTGGTGAAGCTATGAATGAGGTATTTTCCTTACCCTTCCAGTGCTAGAGGACTTGCAGGCTAATCCAGGTTCCTTCCCTCCAGAAGCATATTTCATACAAATGTAAATAGAGCAGCATAAGAGCCTTTTCTTGAGAGTGTTTCTGTGAAATACTATTTCATATTCATGTTTCTATAACCTTGACAACTCACTTGCATATTTCAAGAAAATTTCACCTCTTGTCCTCTAAAAAAACCAAAAGTTACTCACCCACAACTCTGTCTCCTACTTTCAGTCCCATCTTCCTCATAGCTGCAGCATACAAAGCTACAGCTTGTCTCAGTTCTTCAAAAGTAACTTTCAAGATTTCTTCTTTGCCTTCCTCTGAGGAAAGAATAAAACAACCAGTCAAAAATTATGCATTGCAACGTAAGTAGAGTCTAGCACAAACAACTAATTCTGGAAGAAAAAGAATATGAAAGAATTTTAGGAGAAGAGTTTCCACTAATAATTATACTTTTTGCTTTTCAAGTTCCTCTTATGCTGTACCAAGCTTTTCTTTTTAATGGGAATCAAGTATTCATCAGTAGTATTCATTCAGCACGCACCAGGACATTTGTAAAGCTAGGAGCACACATTTGCAAAAATGCAAACTATTCACTGGAGAAAGGTGTGTTCTCAGAGAGCGCTCATGATAAATAGATTGCATTCACCAAGGCTACTTCCTAATATGGAAAGAACAACCTCATTCTCCCTTTTCGCTCAGTTTTCTCATTAGGTCTAGGAAGCAGCAGCAAGGTGACTACTTTAGGTTTTATTACGGAAGTCACCATTGACTATAAAATCATGCACATATAGTTACTAAGGTCTGACTTTCAACATGCTTTTTAAACATCTGTGTTTGCCAACATACCACAACACAAATAAACTAAACTGGACTCCATTCATCTCTGAAAAGATCTGCAAGGGGTTTTCATTTTTGTACTGAATGTCAGATGTTAAATAAGCTGTTACTAAATCACTCCTGAAACAAAATGAACAAATCTAAATGTTATGAAAGGCAAAGTTTGTCATCTTAAAGCTCCCTTCCTGTATGTACTTCCTCAATATGACTCGTGGAAACCATTTGGCCTGTCCTGTTTCCAGTATCCAGCACTTCTTATGAAAACACATTATGCCAAAGATGTCACACCAAAAATGTACTGCATGCCCTGATACAGCAGGTCTTTGCAGAACAGTCCAACTTCCTTAAGCAAGGAACAGTCTTTTTACTCTTTTGCCTTCTTACACTTCCATCCCAGTAAATTTAGACCCACATGGAACAGAAGAGCATGTTGTGATGGGAAACACCACAGAAGTCAATGTAACATGCAGCTCATAAGCTGAGCACGGACTGCTAACAGATTCTGTATTCCCACAGAACAGCAGAAAACGGGACTCTGATCTTGCTCCATGATTAAAGCCCCAGGAGAAGGGAGTCACAAACAACAGATACACAGTAGGAGCCAGTGACAAGTGAAATTGTTTAGGAAAGGTACATTTACGTTCCCGTGCCCTATTACACCCACATTGCTCCCACAGAATCATCCCTAGTGAACACACAAATCTGACACAGGTTCCCTAAACACCACTCTGACCTAGCAGTGAGGGGTTAACAAAAAAATACTCTGACTTAAGAGATCTTAAGAAGATTAAATACAGCAGAAGGTCATGAAAAGAAATGCAGGTGGAAGTCTGTTCACCGCAGAGAAGTAAATGTCTTCACTCCGGGACTGATACAGTATTCAACCGGAAAATAATTTTCCTCCTGTTGCTATCATCACCTATGACTATGCAGCACAAAGCAGTGAGCATCCAGTACACCCCATAACTTCCTAACAAGAAACAAGATCTACAGAAACCAGATCTACAGGGACAATGTAATCACATATCAAACCAAATAATTCACTAAGTCAATAATAATTCCTTCAATAATTTGAACTGAAAGTATTTAACTCCACTTTTTCTCAAGTTGCATGTTTAGCTTTTAGCATTAGCAAATCAATCGCATCAATTCTACATACATTTAGAGTTGACTTACTAATCAGTGTTTGGCTTTCAGCTGTTGCACAAGATGTACTTAACCACATTGATTTTTTTTCCCCATTAAATAGTACATAAGAAGCTTTTCTAATGATCTCAAAATTTGAAAGTGATGAGTTCATACTTTGAAGCCAGCTTTCTGTTACAAGCCCCATTTCTATCAGACTTCACCAGATCAATTCTTACTACACCAAAACGGGGTCACAGATATTCCCATTCTCTCTGAACTGGTTGTCGATTTTATATACACATGATCAGAGAGGTTTCCTTCAATACCTCTAAGCAGTAAAATGCAACTGGTAAGTATTTCTTCTTCAGCAGTAAGCTCTACAGAAGACAATTCTGTTGTCTCACATTGGATTGATTACGTAGGCGTTAAAAGTCTTAGTTTCTGATGCATGGAGATCAGGTTTTGAATTACATATGTATTGCTGTTGTTCTGATAGCTGTTTAAAAACATAGTTGTGCGTAATTTTTTCTGCTAAGAAGCTGTAAGACTCCATTGTTTATTGTTAAGCTATTAAGAAGCACCACCATTTGGTCAGTCTTATGATAAGGATTAGGTCCAGCAAAAAGGAAGCTCAGAATACAACTCCCTAAGGAAGCACTCCCACACCTGCACAGAAGCTAATCCCATCTAACAGAGATGAGAATCATTTTTTTAAAGTTACCAAAGTCAGCAGATATAGGGAAGGGACTTTATTGTCTTAACATGACCATCCTCATTACGGGTATACCTGGATTTTACCAGACATATCTTCTCCAGTGTAACAAGAAATTAAGACTGAGCTTTAGTATTCCAGAAAGTGAAATTTCAAGTCTTCCATGCATGTAACTGTCCTTTCTTTCTGTATTGTCAAAAGCGGAGTTAATTCCTACCTACACCCCATGCAGTCCTTAGTATTCCTAAGTTAATAGGCACAGGAGGAGGGTGAGAAGGACAGTATCAAGCAATGGTGACAAAATACTTCCTGAAGGTATGCACTAGGCAAGTGTTTATGACAAATGTGAAGTAACAGCTCAAATATTGAGTGATACTAAACACAGCATGATCTCTACTATCTTAATGCAGTTAAGCACATTCTAAGAAAATTTCATTCAGTTTGCCAAGGACTTTTCAGAACTATCTATACTCGCAGAGCATGTTTTGCTGTTTTTTGTGGAGCTGTGTCATAAATTCTGCCAAGTTACTGACTTTATTTTCCTCTTTTCTCCTACCCAAGCCAGTTTATTTTAGGTTTCATAAAAAGTAGAGCTGTTTCATAAGGCCTAGTCCTGTGAACTATAAATAAATACAAGCCATTAATTCTTTCTTACTTGCTGCATACAGTGCAATCTTGTCATTGTCCTTGTGCTTCAGAAGATTTTCTGCATAGTTCAGACGGCTACCTTTAAACCATTCCGGGACATCTGCAATACTTTTGGACGTATCAACCACCTGAAAAAAAAAAAAAAATAGATTCCTGGAAAATTGTAATATAATTTCTTTTTCAGAGCATTGTACAGAAATCAGCTAATTAATTCCAAGCTCTTTATAGACTCTATTAGGCAAGAGCCATTTCTCCCAGGTTACAGATGGCAAACAGACACTAGAACCTGTCATTACAGACCTGAGTTCAGCTGGAATAGAGTTATTTTTCTCTCCTTGTAGCTGGTATAGTGCTGTGGTTTGGATGCTGATAACACACCAATGTTTTAGTTGTTGCTACGTAGTGCTTACGCTAGTCAAGGACTCTTCAGCTCCCCATGCCCTGCCAGCAATAAGCTGGGAGGGGCACAGCCAGGCCAGCTGACCCAAACTGCCCGCAGGGCTATTCCATACCATATGGCGTCATGCTCAGTATAGAAACTAGGGGGTGTAGAGGGAAGCTGGGGGGAGGGGCCGGGGGGGGGGTACCATTGCTCAGGGACAGGGTGGGCATCGGTCAGCAAGTGGTGAGCAATTGCATTGTGCATCACTTGGTTTGTGTATTCTTTTACCATTATTATTGTTTTCCCTTCCATTTCTGTCCTATTAAACTGTCTTTATCTCAACCCAAAAATTCTCCTCCCCTCCCCCCCATTTTTCCCCTTTTTCTTTTCCCCCGGATTCTGTCACCCACCCCAGTGGGGTTGGGAGAGCAAGCAAATGGCTGTGTAGTGTTTAGCTGCCTGTTGGGTTAAACGGCAATAGTCCTTTTTTGTGCCCAACATGGGGCGTGAAGGGATCGAGATAACAACAGATCTGACCAGCGCATGTTAAAACAAACTTGTGATAAGCATTCATCGTATTAGTTTAATAGTTGCTGGTCATAATGTTGACTTATTTGCTCTCAGAGTCGTGTCACCTAACACCTTGCTTGCCCTATGCATTCCCTGTGGTGCCATTTATCACTGCTGGGAATTGGATTAAAGTTACCACTTTGCTGTACTGCGTAACACTGGTTTATGGTATGATAATTTTATCAGTTATGAGATTGTACTCAGCACTGCCATCACTCCCATACTTTGGGAGCCATCTCTCGGAAAATATTAATAATTACACTTTTTACCTCTTCTCCTCAGAGAACCAATCTATAGTGGAGATGGGGGGACAGGACACTTTCCCCTGGTCCTTCACCTTCCCTTTTTCCTTCAGGCTAGTTACAACAGCTCTTGAGAATTTTGAATATCCTTGGGATATTCAAACAAGCATGCTCCTGTTGCTATGTCTCTTAAATGCAGTTCAGGTCTTGTTTAGGGTTAAACAACTATTTAAGAATACCATCCAGAAATCTATCCCCCACAACAGGCACCGCAGCCACTCCAGCTCCTGGCGACAGGCACTGCAGCTGAACCAGAGAACCAACCCATGCCCGTGTCAGTCACCCCTATACACAAGAAGATCAGCTCATTTAGTAAGGGATGAAGATGAACCAGGGCCATCATGAGAACAGGAGGAAGGAGAGGCAGAACCCATAAATGAGATGGGAACCACCTGATCCCTATCCCCAAGTGAGCTGCAAGATATGCAAAAAGATTTCAGCCATCATCC